TGCCCTGTGTGCTCTGTGATTTACTTTTATGATGCTCCTGTTTGCCTAACTATCTTGTGTGCTGTATATATAGATGTAAAATATACCTATTTACATAAAACTACGAGTTAGTGTCAGCGTCTTTGACTCCCTTTGGACACTTGCTGTGTAATTCCCTGACACAATGTGGTGTGGTGGTTAAGATGTTGGTCTAGGAAGAGCAAGACGTGTGTTCAGGTCTGGTTGAAGATATGTATCTGGTGGAGTTGCAGACTAATTAAAGTGATTTAATCTGGGCTAATTAAATTATAAACAATTATGCTTCCTTATGTATGCAGGTACACCGGATGAATCCCCCAAGATAGAGACCTCGCTTGATGAAATTGAACTCAATGCTGGTTCAGAGTTCAAGTCGACCTGCACAATTACTGGCAAACCACCTCCTACCAAGGAAGACATTAAATTAATTAAAAAAGATGGAGCCATCCTTCTAGTAAGTTCCTCATGATCTTATTCTTTTGTAGGAAGGATAAGTTAATGGAGATCATTGTACTTATTCACTGAATCTCTTTTGCCTCATTTTTTTGCTCCTTTCCATCTCTACTTGCAATAAGCCTTAAGTTTCAAGAACCCATCTTCTGTTCTGGGGTTATATATACTAAAGCAAAGAATAAATCAGTTAAAATCACAGCAATAAAACAAGAAGCATGATGGTCCTATGAAGGCAAAAACTTTTAGCATTGTCTCATCAAATATTCAAAGTCCATTTTAGATATTAAAATATATTCAATTGATATTACAGTAACATTTTTAACCTGAAACATAAAATAGGTATATAATTTTCATTGCCTTCTCTCCCTAATGAAATTTTACCTGAATGTTGATTTTTCTGCTTTAAAAAAAAAAAAAAAAAAAAAGGCAAAAAAAAAAAAAACCCATTGCTAAAAACAGACTATTTTTTGCATTGTGGTAAAATGTCTAATTAAAAAAAATTTTTTTTGTTGCCTAGCCTGTCACAGTAGCCAAAAAAAGCAACATGTCAGATGCTTTAGAAGCTACATTTCTTATGAAAAGTGTCCAGCCTGCTG